TGCAGGAGGCAGCCGATCCATGATTCTCTCTCCTCATGGATGTTTCTCTCTCTCTCCCTCTCCCTTCTTCTCTGAAATCAATAAAAATGTATTTAAAAAAAAAGAGAATCAGCGCCTTAGACTATTGGTCTAATCATGATATACGTAGCCAACTGTGAGTGGTGGTTCCACTCTGCTTCTGATAAATTGCCTGAAAATAGCTCACTTGAGATAAAAGTCATAATTCAGACTACAGTCAGAGGACAAGAAGATGAGAAATCCAGAGGCGAAGCCCGCTCAATCGGCGTGGCTCAGTGGTTGAGCGTGGACCTAGGAACCAGGCGGTCAGGGGTCGATTCCTGGTCAAGGGCACAGGCCCGGGTTGCCGGCTCCATCCCCAGTAGGGGGCATGCAGGAGGCAGCCGATCCATGATTCTCTCTCATCATGGATGTTTCTCTCTCTCTCTTCCTCTCCCTTCTTCTCTGAAATCAATAAGAAAAAAAAAAGTATAGCTATATTTCTACTAGAGGCCCAGTGCATGAAATCCGTGCACAGCTTCTGGCTCCGGCCTTCCTTTGTTCCATGCTGCCCCCTGGTGGTCAGCGCATGTCATAGCGAGCGATGGAACTCCCGGTCTGTCAAACTCCCAAGGGGACACGTTGCATTTTAGGCTTTTATACATATAGATATCTAGTTTCACACTTGGCTGTGGTCTCCCCTTCAGGGCAGCTCCTGAATGTCCTAGAGGAGCTGCAGCTGACCAACAACACCCTCGTCTACTTCACCTCCGACCAGGGTGCCCACGTGGAGGAGGTCACCCCCAAGGGAGAACGTCACGGGGGAAGTAACGGGATCTTTAAAGGTCAGAGTGGGATCGGCTGTGGCCCCCGGCTCCCCCGCCCGGTGGGCCAGCCTCAGGAGACTCACCTGTGGCCTCCCGTTGGCGTTTCAGGCGGCAAAGGCAACAACTGGGAAGGAGGCATCCGCGTGCCGGGCCTGCTGCTGCGGCCGGACAGCCGAGGGGTCCGGGCCGGGCCGCCTGTCGCTAATTGAGCCAATTCAGCAGAGACGGGGGTGAATCCTATAAGAGGGTTTGTTCCCATCCTGCCGGCGGGATGGGAGAGTAGCAGGTCACCCACAAACGTGTGCTCTGCACCCCCCAGAAGCCCGCTGCTTATCTGGGTAGAAGGACAAGGATTCCGTGGGGTCGTAGGCGTTACAGACCCAGGGAAGTGGGCACGGGATACTCATTACAGGTCACGCCAGCTCGGGGTGGGGGGTTTGCAGACTGTGGGTGCCTCTGGGGCCAGCTGACAGGCAGTAGGGGCTGGGGTTGCAAGGAGCAGGGTGCCTCCAGGACTCGATTGTCTCAGCAAGAGGTTGTCCATCTTCCCGTGATGACAGGCAGGAAGGTTGGCCGCGGTTACTCATAAAAAGCCTTCTCTGACGCCAAAAACTTCACTCCCGATCTTGTCTCCTCGTTGGCCCTCGTTCTTACATTTGGAATAAATCTCAATAGGCACTCTTACATAACTCCCACAGGAGTTGCACGCGTCTCTGGTGGCTTCCAATCATTAAAATCACCTGGACCCTTTGCTTTCATTTTGTTTTGTGAATCCTCACCTGAGGATATTTTCCCATTGATTTTTTTTTTTTAAGAGAGAGAGTAGAAAGGAGGGGGACAGACAGAGAGAGAGAAACATCGATGTGAGAAAGACACACGGATTGGTTGCCTCCCGTACGCACCCTGACGAAGGCCCTTGGCCAGGGAGGAGCCTGCAACGCAGGTACGTGCCCTTGACCGGAATCGAACCCGGGACCCTTCTGTCTGTGGGCCAATGCTCTATCCACTGAGCCGAAGGGTGAGGGCGGAACCCACTCTTGAGACCGAAGGTCCTTCTTACAGATCTCATGAGGCTTGTTGACCTATAAAATGTTACTATTGTGAGAGAGAGAGAGAGAGAGAGGATGGGGGAGAGAGAGAGAGAGGAAGAGGGAGAGAGAGAGGAGATAAGAAAACAGAAATCTATTCCCAAGTCCCTTGTGGGGAGAAAATGATGGCCCACTATTGTGTTTCAGTCCTGTGATTTTTTTTTTTTAATGAATAGTAGCAATTTTTATTTTGTTTTTAAATATTTCTATTGATTTCAGAGTGGAAAGGAGAGAGGGAGAGAGAGATAGAAACATCCATGAGGAGAGAGAATCATGGATCGGCTGCCTCCTGCAAGCCCCCTACTGGGGATCGAGCCCGCAACCCAGGCATGTGCCCTGACCGGGAATCGAACCGTGACCTCCTGGTTCCTAGGTCGACGCTCAACCAGTGAGCCAGGCCGGCCAGGCAAGGCTGCTATGTCTTTATCTAATTGTTATGGAATAAGAGCCTCCACTCATGATGCTGTTGGGAGAATTAAAAAAAATAATGCTGACGTCCCTGCATTGCACATGGTACCCAACAGAGTCCGGGAGGGTATTTACCGCCGATGACTTAATTACGACGATGCTGCTCTCTCATGCTCTTCGTTGTCAGGAGGATACGGCGGCGGGGGTGGGGCGGAGGGAGCGGTTCATTCCCAGGAGGAGACGGCCAAGGCAGAGGTGATCAGGCCGGCAGGGGAGAGCAGTTAGGGGTGATCAGGGGGGCGATCAGGCCGGCAGGGGAGAGCAGTTAGGGGCGATCAGGCCGGCAGGGGAGAGCAGTTAGGGGCGATCAGGCCGGCAGGGGAGATTGGTTAGGGGCGATCAGGCTGGCAGGGGAGATTGGTTAGGGGCGATCAGGCCGGCAGGGGAGAGCAGTTAGGGGCGATCAGGCCGGCAGGGGAGAGCAGTTAGGGGCGATCAGGCCGGCAGGGGAGAGCAGTTAGGGGCGATCAGGCCGGCAGGGGAGAGCAGTTAGGGGCGATCAGGCCGGCAGGGGAGAGCAGTTAGGGGCGATCAGGCCGGCAGGGGAGAGCAGTTAGGGGCGATCAGGCCGGCAGGGGAGAGCAGTTAGGGGCGATCAGGCCGGCAGGGGAGAGCAGTTAGGGGCGATCAGGCCGGCAGGGGAGAGCAGTTAGGGGCGATCAGGCCGGCAGGGGAGAGCAGTTAGGGGCAATCAGGCCAGCAGGCAGAGTGGTTAGGGCAGGCAGGCAGGTGAGCGGTTAGCAGCTAGCTGTCCTGGTTCACCTCACACCCTCACAGCCACCTGGTTGACCCCACAGGATCATCGACGGGCGCGACCTGATGCCCCTCTTGCGAGGCGAAACCCAACGCTCCGAGCACGAGTTCCTCTTCCACTACTGCAACTTCTACCTGAATGCCGTGCGCTGGCACCCGCCCAACAGTGAGTCGCAGCTACCCGGGCGTCCGCCGCTCCTGCCGTGGGAGTGGGTGCTGCTCCCAGGGGGCTCTGCTCTGCAGCGGTCGGTTGATGGATGGCTCGGGTGCGGGGCGCTTGGCTTGGCGAGGAACCCTGGCTCCTCTCTGCTCTTACCCCTTCTGGTCCCAGGGTTGTCCCCGGGGGAGGTTGTTGACCTAGGCCAGTGGTTGGCAAACCGCGGCTCGCGAGCCACATGCAGCTCTTTGGCCCCTTGAGTGTGGCTCTTCCACAAAATACCACGTGCGGGCGCGCACGTGCAGTGCAAAGTTGACTTAAAACTGTAAGTAAAGTTTATGAAGTTAATTTTAGGGAACGTTGTGGAGTGAAAGAAGATGTAGTGTCGAGGATGGAGAAAGGTATGCTGAGATGGTTTGGACATACAGAGAGGATGAACGAAAGGAGATAGAGAAACAAGTGTACAAGACGCGTGCGGATGGAAGAGCTGGAAGGGGTCGACTTCAGCGATTGTACCTCAATCAGTTTGGCAAAGGCCAGCTTAGGAGTACCCTAATTAAGTGAATAACAATGTACCTACCTATATAGTTCAAGTTTAAAAAATTTGGCTCTCAAAAGAAATTTCAATCGTACTGTTGATATTTGGCTCTGTTGACTAATGCGTTTGCCGACCACTGACCTAGGCGTTCGCCCACGTCTACGCCAATGGTGGCTCCTCCGTCGGCCGTCGCGTTGGGATGCTGGCGCTGCTTCCTCTCCTGGGTCTCAGCGGGGGCGGGTCACGGCTCCTCCGTCTGTATCTCGTCGCGGATCGTGTGGGTTTTGCCCTGAACTCCAATCTTGAGCACTGGTTCCGAGGCGTGGATGTTGTGGTGTTTGTCCTCCTGCGTGTTCCTCAGGTTGTGCGTCGCATTTGGGTTTCCCTGACACCCGTCTTAGCGTCGTGTCCTCGTTACCAGCCTGAAGGTGCGAGTGGAGCCAGGTGGTAGGTCTCAGGTGGCTTTTGTGTGTGTTTTTTTCGTACCGTTCAACGTAGAACCACAGTGATGTCCATGTGACTGAGAGGCCTCAGAATGTGGAAACCCAGCAGCTGTGAATGCGCCCGGGGCGTGTTCTAGAGACCGGGGTGTGGAGGTTGGGCTTTGGGGTCACGCTTCAGAGGTCGACTCAACCTCCCGTTTTCTCTGTTGTGTTTGGGGGTTCGGCTCCTGGAGGCTCCCCTCTCCCAGGACATCTGCTCACCTCCCAAGCGATGGCTCCTTCTCAGACTCAGAGCGAGACTCACACTGGCTTTCAACGCACCCCTGCCCCATCCCTACGCATCTGGTCTGTTGGGCAAAGATTTATTGAAAGGGCTCCCTCTTCATTATGTGGAAAGTGGAAAATGGCAACCATTCTGTTATCCCACAGAAATCACACCGGCTTGACCCTACAAAACACTTAATTTTTTATTTTCTTAAAGGATTAAAAAATATATATATTTTTTTTGATTTCAGAGAGGAAGGGAGAAGGAGAGGGAGAGATAGAAGCATCTGTACTAATAAAAGGGTAATATGCTAATTAGACCGGACGTCTTTCGGACGTCCTTCCGGACAAAGCCACGGTGGCGGGGCCGAGGCAGAGGTGGTTAGGGGCCATCAAGCTGGCAGGGGAGAGCAGTTAGGGGTGATCAGGCCAGCAGGGGAGGTCAGTTAGGGGCAATCAGGCTGGCAGGGGAGAGCATTTAGGAGGATCAGGCAGGCAGCAGAGTGGTTAGGGCAGGCAGGCAGGTGAGAGGTTAGGAGCTAGCTATCCCAGATTGTGAGAGGGATTGGGCCTAAACAGACAGTCGGACATCCCCCGAGGGGTCCCTGATTGGAGAGTGTGCAGGCCGGGCTGAGGGACCCCCCCCCCTGAGGACTGAAGGGTCCCGGGTTCGATTCCGGTCAAGGGTATGTACTTTGATTGCAGGCTCAATCCCAGGCCCTGGTCGGGGCACACGTGGGAGGCAACCAATGGATGTGTCTCTCTCACATCGATGCTTCTCTCTCTCTCTCTCTCTCTCTCTCTCTCTGTCTCTCCCTCTCCCTTCCACTCTCTCTCTAAACATCAATGAAAAAGTATCCTCGGCGTGGATTCACGAAGTCACGGTGGCTCAAGGCTGGAGTTGTGTATGGAACTAAAGGGTGGCAGCCACCCATGATGTTCTGAATCGCCCCTCATTTATTTGTCGGGGTGTCTCTGACACTCAGGAGCCGTGGCTGCTGTCCTGGCGTCACCCATGGCTCTGTGGTTAGTGATGGAGCGTCGCCCGCATTTATGCGTTCCACCGGCGTTGACTGAGCGGCTGCTCCTTGGCATCCCCCTGTGCCTGGGTGGGCACGTGTGGGTGAACCGCACGGACGGTGTTCTTAGCTTCTGCAGAGGGAACTGGAAGTCCGACCTGCACACCTACCTGGGGCCGGTGCAGCAGCGGGCACGAGAGCTGCTGGGGTTGCAGGCTGCGCACGCCGTAGCCCGTGTTGTGCCGTGAGCCGTGGGAGGAGCTGAGCGTGCAGGGGTGCGTACGGAACGGGCGAGTCTCGTTTGCGCGGCGTTACCTGTCCGCTGGAGGACACAGAGAAGACGCGGTCGTTGGGCGAGGCGGCTGACATTATGTCAGGGCCACTTTGCGAGGAGGCGGTCAGTTATCACCGGACTGCATGCCGGAACGCTTTCCAAAATTCTTAGGGGTGAGGGAGATGCCGCTTGAGCTCAAAATCCTTCCTTAGAGCCTGGCCGATGTGGCTCAGTGGTTGCATGTCGACCTATGAAGGAGGGAGTCACGGTTGGATTCCCGCTCAGGGCACATGCCCGGGTTGCGGGCTCGATCCCCAACCAGTAGGAGGCATGCAGGAGGCAGTTAGGGGCAATCAGGCATGCAGGCAGAGTGGTTAGGGGCAATCAGGCCGGCAGGGGAGGACAGTTAGGGGGCAATCAGGCAGGCAGGCAGAGTGGTTAGGGGCGATCAGGCATGCAGGTGAGCGGTTGGGAGCCAGTGGTCCCGGATTGCGAGAGGGATGTCAACATGATTTTACGGATAAAGTTTACCTGGAAAGGTAGGTAGATTCTTGGGTCCAGAAACGGTTGCAGGATTTTAAGCAGGTGAATGTTGCCAGGAAATGCACGCTCACGTTCACATGCGAGCCCACGAACCAGCTGGTCGGACAGAACTCCCAGGGGATGCGGCCGTTCTGATGCTGAGCCCACAGGGCCTCCGAAATCCTGCCTCTTTTCCAATTCAAATCGGTTGGAAACTGGTTTTCTTGTGATTTAAAAAAAAAAAAAATCACTTAAAAAAACACAAGAGAAAAAGCACTATGTACCTCACAGAATTTGTTCTACAAAATGGTTATTCAGCCCTGGCTGGTGTGGCTCAGTGGACAGAGCGTCGTCCTGCGGACTGAAGGGTCCTGGGTTCGATTCCCGGTCAAGGGCACATGCCTGGGTTGCGGGCTCCATCCCCAGTAGGGGGTGTGCAGGAGGCGGCCGATCCATGCTCCTCTCTCATCACGGATGTTTCTCTCTCTCCCTCTCCCTTCCTCTCTGAAATCAATCAAAATATATATTTTTAAACCCTTAAAAAAATAAAATACTTTGTCGGGTCCAGCTGGTGTGATTTCTGTGTGTACATCACGCACCCCTCCAGCATCCCCAATAAATCTCTCTTGTTAAGTCGAGCAGCCGAACCCACGTATCCAGGGGCGTGTAAATCCTAGTGACCCACTAGGAGCTGATGTGTCCAAGCCATTCACACCGAGTTACCGTAATCGCTAAGAACCCTCGGTGCGGGGAACAGATTTAAGGGCAGACGGAAACCGAGGTGTTTTTCATTTCGTTTTTTTTTTTTATAAAAGCTTTCAGCTCTCAAGGGGGGAAAAACACACAAAAAAACGAGGACAGTTTATCTTTGGTTCCTTGTCCTTGACAGAGCGCTACGTTTGCTACTGAAAATAAACCACATGAAAAACAAAGGACTGGGGTGTGTTTTTTTATTTTGTTTTGTTTCCTTTTTATTTATTTCGTTTTTAATCCTCCCCTGAGGATATGTTTGCAGAGAGGAAGGGAGAGGGAGAGAGAGAGAAACATCGATGGGTTGCCTCTTGCACCCACCCACACCCAGGATCAAACCCAGGCATGTACCCGGCCTAGACTCGAACCCCCAACCTTTTGCTGTACGACGGGCAACCTGCCAATCAACTGAGCCACCCGGCTAGGATATGATGTTGGTTCTCTCTCTTCCCTGCTAAAGGGTGTCCCAAAATTCACGCAAGAAGTGATTTTGATAGAAAACACAGGTTTATAATTAAAAATTGTAAATTTTTTTATTGATTCATAAAGTATACAGTCTAGGGTTATGTGTGGAATAGCACAGCGGGTCAATGGCCTCCCCGGCTTTGCTGGCACAGACGCAAAGCCGCGGTCTTCATTGGTCTTCCTTGTCCCTCCTCCTGGGCCGTCATTGGTACTTGGTGATGCTTATCGAATGGAAGGGATTGACATCAAAGGGCAACAGATGTTAGAATCTGATTCAATAAACCAAGTGAAATTAGGCTTTTATGTTTTGTTGCTGTTGTTGTTAATGCTCATGCAAAATTCAAATCTTGCGTGAATTTTGGGACACCCTTTAGCAGGGAAGAGAGAGAACCAACATCATATCCTAGCCGGGTGGCTCAGTTGATTGGCAGGTTGCCCGTCGTACAGCAAAAGGTTGGGGGTTCGAGTCTAGGCCGGGTACATGCCTGGGTTTGATCCTGGGTGTGGGTGGGTGCAAGAGGCAACCCATCGATGTTTCTCTCTCTCTCCCTCTCCCTTCCTCTCTGCAAACATATCCTCAGGGGAGGATTAAAAACGAAATAAATAAAAAGGAAACAAAACAAAATAAAAAAACACACCCCAGTCCTTTGTTTTTCATGTGGTTTATTTTCAGTAGCAAACGTAGCGCTCTGTCAAGGACAAGGAACCAAAGATAAACTGTCCTCGTTTTTTTG